ATGCGAAATACTGCACAGTTATACTTTACTCGGCAAGACCTTTCCAACAATATATATTTTGTATCAATTCGCGATTATCACTTTGGCCACTTCCCTTGTGAGCAAAATTTCCCGTACGTTTTTGTTGGTGATGAGGATTTTCCTCTATCCACCTCATTGTTAATACCATATTCAGGATCACAGTGTACTGGCCGAAAGGATAGGAGAATTTATAACTATAGGTATATATTTAGAAGTATAATTTAGAAGTACAATTTAAAGTTAGCAGTATAATTAAAAAAGTATAATTTTTATACAGACATTCCCGTGCACGTAGAAATTCCGAGAATATGATCCAGACATAGCAGTGCTTTTAATACAAACTTGTTGCTGCTTACATAATTTTCTTCGTTCAACCGTCATAGGCAGAGCTTTATATACTCCTGATAATATGCTTGATATTGAGGGTATACAAATTGGCACAATATAACTTGGCGAATGGAAGCAGGAACCAGCATCAGCTTGGGTGACACCCAGTTGGACACGGCTCAATTGGACATGAGCCACTCACAGCGCTTGAGACTACAAAGCTTCTAAGCACCGGTCGCTGTGATTGGTGGTGTCCAATCGAGACGTGGTCAGTCGGGATCACCCCCATCAGCTTTTGCTCCATTAATTCATCAGGGAGGAAATAGACATGCTAATGCAGCTTTAGCATTGCGAGATGAGTTGTGCAATTATTTTAATAATATTTATACTGTCCCTTGGCAAGATCAAATGGTACGATGAGGATAGAAGAAAAAGATATAATGTACTTTCAGATTTTGAATTTGTACACGATATATATTTTTTATATTTTTAACATTTTCTTATCTAAATAAAAATGTGTATTCAATATTTAACGTAAAAAATACTGCATTAAAATGATATTTATAACTTAAAGTTAAAATTGTTTTAATTATCTTACAATACATTGCAAATTATTACATTTTATATAAATTAAATCTTAAATTAATGTTACACGTTGTTTTGAATAAGTTACGATCAATATCATTTGACTTCAATTTGAAAATTGACAAGATGCGAATCTCACGAAATATAGGATGAAACATTTGAAAAACAAGAAAACAACGGCTTGTATAAATTTAAACTTGTATAATGATAACGTTTCAAATTGTAACCACAAATTTTAATTTCTTTTATGTAATTTAATTGTAAAATAATTTTTATGTAATATTGAAAAAGGTTTGATGTACAAACCGAAACGTATATGTTATTTTAAGTTCGAAATATACAGATTATGTTATAGTAATCTCTCGCAATTTCATTCTTGCGTACGTGGAAGAAGCTGTAATACATACAATATCGTTTGTTATTACATTTTGTAATTTTTAATAAGTATTATAAATAAAATGTAAGCCTTAGAAACTCCAAATCTTTAATGTCATTAATATAATCACAGCAAAATAGTTCCTATTTTAACTTAAAATACATCATTTTCAATAACAGCAGCATTTAAAAAAATAATTTTTATGCGCGCTTACTCAAAATAATAATATTATAAAAATATGACATCAAAGTTAAAATAAAAAAAATAGTTACATAAACTTGAATCTTAAAAATAGTATTATTATATATTTATCTTAAATCACATTTGAGTGTTTTGAATCTTAAATGTAGTATTATTGTATACTTATCTTAAATCACATTTGAGTGTTTTAATAAATATTGCATTGATTGAGTTGGGTAATCGGTTTAGCATCCCCTTAACAATCGAGCTGGATCTTGGTTGCTAATATAATTCCGTGTGAATTTATATATTGCGTATGTAGTATCCTAAACCGCGTGCCGAAAATTTTTTCGGACTTACAACGCAACTCTAATAAACTACCACAGTACTATCACGAGTTAAATTGACTAACAATCCAACAATTTGATACTCAAAGCATCTTGGATCTTATTAAGAGTTGAATGACACATTAAAATCTATAAATAATTCATTGTAATCTCTGTATTATAGCAGCAACAGCATTTCGCTACAGTTTATAAATTTATAGTTATAGCAGCAAATATATATTTTAACTAATCAAGATTAGCTATGACAGAATATTTTTTTCGTGTAGATAAATGATAATTTTTAAATTTTCATGAAAGTAGTTGGAAGCTATGTTAACGCTCTCTTCTGGTTCAGAGTATGTAGACACTGTACTATTGTCCTCATTAACATCTAAATTTAATATGCTAGTAGCTTGAATAGTTGACTTTCTCAAAAATGTAAGAAGAAGATATAAATCCCATTTCGGTTTATAAATATCATCCGTGTCTTTGCCGCTTGATGTCGAATCCTTAATTTTTTTTTCATTACGCATGAATGTTGTGCGTAGATTTTCGAATCTTTCTTTTACCTGATTGCCTGTGATAAAGAAATGCAGATTGTACTTTTAACCTATTCTAACCTAACTTCTATAACAAATATTTACAATGTACGATAGCATCACACTAATAGCGTTTTCGGCCCGGCTGGGTTTGCACCAACTTGGATCGGAAAATGCTTCGCTATTGGTTGACGTTACACGCTCTACCAATAGGAGAGCATGAAACATCATTACTTCAACCCAAGTTGGTGCGAACTCGGTCGGGCCGAAAACGCCATAAATTAATTTTAAGTATTAAATAATGCCACCTTCTCCCAATAAATAGCTTTTAAATCTAATCTGTTATATTGTGAATGCGAAATATCCCACAAAATAGGTCTTTCACGCAATTCTTGTATTAACTGAATTTCAGTATTCCTTATCCAACTAACTTTTTTTACTCATTATTGCAGAATACCGAATTTTGATGATGTTTCAAATTCTTTCGTCCAAAAATCCGCTGATACATGTCACATGACCAAACTTTTCACAATCTTATTTGCTACGACTCAGAATCGCCCGACTGAAAATAGAGTGATTTCTATTCTCGAGTCGGCAGTCAGAGTCGGCTGCTGCCTTGCTGTGATTGGTTGAATTATAGTCGGGAGTCCGAGTCAGCAGTCGAGTTAGAGTCGGGAGCCTGTAGTGTGATTACGGCTTAACGCTGAGCCTCAGGAGCGTCCATGACAAATACATTAAGTCCGTATCTTCCATGAAATTTTTAATTATTTAGCAAAACTTTTTTTGCTAAATAATTATTACCTTTAGAAATAATAACTTTTATATTTATGAATTTAACGTACAAAAATTTATTATGAGAATATTAAATTGTTTAAAGTAATTACACAGTGATAATCATAGCCAGTGTTTGCCGACATCTAGATGAAACCATCTTAGATGGTCATCTAGATGGAAAATTGGAACATCTCATCTTACATCTAGATTGTGCAAATATAAACCATCTTCATCTTCATCTTAGATAGAAAAATATACCATCTCATCTAAAAAAAATTTTAGAT